CGATTGTGTTTTCGTATGTGAACGAGACGAGAGCGCTATATGGGAAATATTTTTATGTGGCCACTCCTCACTGAGTTGACGTATGATTGATGTTATTTAGGGCTCGATGGAGATGTTATTAGGAATAGTGATCGAGATGCTATTAGGGCCAGTAATAGAGGGAACAGAGGGTATCACTAAATAAGACTGCTTCAGGTTTTGCTCGGATGGTAAAGGTACAATCGTTCAGTTGAAAAACCAATGTTTGTTTTTCAGAAATAGTGGAGAGGAAGCGGTCAGGTTTAGCCATCTCCTCGTACTAAAGCCTTTTTTCCTTTGGCCTGATACAGTATTATCCAAGGTGATGCAAAGTGTGGCTAACAGCTAGCTGTTGGTCGGTGCTACCACCATTACAGATGGAATTGGCACTGCCTCACAGTAGGGTCCGGTCGTATGAATCGAATCTCGGATCGATTTCTACCCAGGCCAACCAAGCCTTCCATCCTCTAGGCTCGGTTAGTTGGAGCCAGACTCGGGCCAGACTCTGGTAAAGAAGCGTGAAGCACTGACTTGCACAAAGGCTGGCTGGTCACCGCAGGTCTTTGTGTAGGCCGCATTCGCATTCAAACCGTCAAAGAGAAAGGAATCAAATTAAGATGAATCAAAAGAAACAACCTAAATTATAATAGGAAGCGAAAAGAAGTATTATGGCTTCTCAAGTATAGTATTCAGAAAGCAAAGCCGGGATGCCGTCTGCAGTGGAACTGAAAATTTATCCTTAAATCGTTTTCATCAAAAAATTGTCATCGAAGGACCCAATATTATGCTGCTCTTATGCTTTTTTTTCTGATTTATAGACCAGAAATGGCATTGTGATTCATTATATATCCAAATTTCCAGAGATAATATCCATATCTGATTCAGCTTAATTTTTTGTGTATTTCAGTGTTTCTCTAACCAAACGAATGTACAGTTCAAGGCCAAGTTCAAGTTCACGGTATTTAATTCAAGAAATGAGGAAATCCCAACAACAGTCTACACAGGAACCCAGCAGGTATTTTTTAGGTTTTTTCCTTTGCGGGGAGTTCCGATGTTACATTCTTTTGCTGAATACCTTTCATTTTGTCATGGTCGGTTGTGTTGTGCTGCAAACCGGCAGATGATTGAAATGCAATACTGTCGTTTACTTCCAGCTCCATGGGTATTTTGAGTATATACGACGGGATCTTCTCATCAGTCATGTACATCCATCAGATGAATTGCAATTGGTGTTAAATATGACGGTTACTTTCGATACGGTAACGAGAACTAGTCAAGCGCCGAAAACTCTCGGCCCTCCTGAGCCTAAGCCAGCAGAGGTAAGCTTTTACTTGAAATTGCGCACACTTGTAAACTAATGTGTGTATTAGTAACGGGAGGATAATTTCTATGGAATTAAAAACATTTGTCTTTTAGGTAACAAAGGATCTCGAATCAATATTCAAAGACGCTAAACTGTCTGATTTCACCATTGTCGTAGGAGATAAAGA